TTCACGCAAATGTCCATGGTAGTGAGTACCACCGCCCAGGACCGTTCGATCTGATTGGCGACGGATTCCTGCAGCTCCTTTGGAGGCACAGTGTCGAGAGTGGCGTCATCCAAAGACGCGTCGCCATTGTTCTGGACGTGCTCCTCAGGCTCAGGAGAGGGTGAGGGAGAAGCAGTAAGCATGGCAGGATCAAAAATAGCAGAGGACATGATAGCAGGTGATGAAAGATAATCGTGAAGATGTGATGGAGTATTGAATGGAAGAAGAGAAGCGCGACACATGGCCGGCTTTTATGCCAGAAATGAACCACATTATGTCAGCACAATTCCACCCGCTCACCACAATTCATGCGACCACAGTGGATCTGCTCCACATCCGATTTGGCACATTTTGCCCACGATCACGTGACTTTCCTCGTCGAGAATTCGCTAAGTCCATCCACCCCTATGTACGCTGACTGGGGACAGTCAGAAGCTAAGTTCCTATGAGATGTAGAGACTAACATCTCTGTGGCCTCGTAGAGGTCTAATTCTCCAACATCCCAATCACCTCCCAAACACAGCACGACCCGTATCTCATTTCTGCGCACTTGGCGCTTCGTCGGCCGCTCGCGCGCACAGGTGTTTCGGTCGCACATCGGTGCACGCACCTTCAGTTCCGTCACTCATCCTCTGTTTATCCATTCCATGTCCGTTCAGTTCGTCGGTGCGTGTTCCTAATTTATTCTCATGTATTCTGACATATCTCCGGCGCTTGCGCACATATTCCGTATGTTTCGTCACGGACCCTTATTTACATATCATCACGTACTCACTTCGCTTTCCGGCTCGCTTTAGCGCTTGACAGCACTTAACGCTACTTACAATATATATACCTTGCCTTTGTATAATGATCATCATCTTCTTCCCGCACAAACATTGGACTCTAAGTCTAAAATCTCCATTGTATCTGCCGACCGACACTAAGCGCCAGAGCCGACACGAGCGCCAGTCCTCATATTCTTAAATACAAATGTCGTCTTACTTGTCTCTCGACTCACTTAAGAGTCGCTGCGCTCCACCACCCGCACACACACTTCACTCTCACTCAACGCGCGCCACCATACTTGTCGCTCAGTAGCGCTTCATAGCGCTTTCGCTTATTGCGCTTTGCTCATCATCACACGCCCCACCAGGCTTATCCGACAGCCCAGTTCAGTGTTCCCCTCCACTATCATATATAGAGGAACCTTCTCAGTAGCAACTCCCTTGGGCCGACATTAGATTCGTGCACAGAGGACCATCTGAGTATATTTCATACTACCCACTTCTTACCTTTCTACATTCCTCACCTACAGTGGCCATTAGAGATGCATGCGCAGTAGTATGTGGAAGTTTTTAGATTTTCAGTCTAAGTGTTGCATGCAAACAGATGATAATTTCGATGGGAGGTAAAAGAATCCTACATGAAAAATCTCAAGTACTAAGTATATATGATAGCATGCCGAAGCACTGTTCAGAGCTGAGTAGGTAGCGGTAGTATGTAAAAAGGGTCCATAATGCAAGTAATGAAAATATAAATGAGATAGCTTTGGAAATATGGTCAGTCTAATGCAAATGAGTTTAAATATGCACCAATGGACAAGTGGAGGACATGGATAGGACAGGGAAAGGACGTGCGACAGAGCTGAAGAAAAGCTGACATGAACCGATGCGCATGCCTGAGCTGTGGCTGTCGGCCAACAATGGAAAAGATGTGCACCATGTTAGTGATAGCACGCACTGCGTGAGGATCTAAGTGACACTGCAAAAATAGCCTCTATCAGGCTACAAGGACTCCAAGTCCTACAGCACTATGGAAATCGAAGATGTCAATATCCCAGTCATTGCATGCAGTAATAGCCGTGATGGTTCAGAGTGATGTGAGACGCATTGTAGGACTTGGAGTCCTTGTAGCCTTGTAGAGGCTATTTTTGCAGTGTCCCTCAGGTCCTCACACAGTGCATGCTATCACTGACATGGCGCACATCTTTTCCATTGTTGGCCAATGGCCACGGCTCATGCATGTGCATCGGTTCACATTGGCTTATCTTCAGCTCCGTCATGTGTCCTTCCCCCATCCTATCCATGTCCTCTGCTTGTCCATTGGTGCGTATTTTATCTCAATTGTGTTAGACTGACCATGTTTCCAAAGCTATCTCATTTATATTTTCATTACTTGCATTATGGACCCTTTTTACATATTACTGCTACCTACTTGGCTCCGAATAGTGCTTTGGCGCACTATCATATATACTTAGTACTTGTGAATTTTCATGTATCTTTTTTTTTCCCCATCGAAATTATCATCTGTTTGCACGCAACACTCAGACTAAGAATCTAGAACCTTCGGTATACTATTGCGTGCACTCCTCTAGAAGGTTGCGCTAATGTTCGCACTTCTTTCATCACGTCTATCATCAAAACTCTCCTTCTGTCTCATCGCCGTGTCGCATCACTTTCGCATTCACAAATCTTCATATATATCCTTCAGCTTGAGCACACACCTTCATGCTTTATCAAACCTTTGGCTGCTTGGTCGTGCATTGTATCACACTTTCGGCAGCTCGCTTGTGCTCGCATCACTTCAGCACAAGTTCTTGCACTCCCTCTATTCTCAGTTACCCTTACTAGTTTCAAAGTTTCCCCTCACATTTTACTTAGAGGAATCATTCTCAGTAGCAATCCCCTTGGGCCGAATTTATACTCACATCCAGAGGTCTATTTGAGTTTTACCCCACTTCACCCTTTCACCCCTTCTCATCTAGCTGTCATTCCTCACACACAGCGTGACAGGCACATATGTGTCATAATAATCAACACCATAGACCTGTGAGTAGCCCTTGGCTACAAGCCAGGCCTTATACTTATCTATCTCTCTGTCCATGTTTCTCTTAATGCAGAAGACCCATTTGCATCCCACCATGTTCACTCCTTCAGGCTTTTCAACTATAGACCATGTACTGGCATCTTTCAGCACAGTAAGTTCCTTGTGCACAGCATCATCCCATTTTGGCCAGTCAATTCTCATGTGAGCTTGTTCCAGCATTGTAGGGTCAGTTGCCTCTACTTCGGCAACTCCGGCTACCATTGCATAGATGTCCTCATCGTATTCATCCACTTCCCCACATTCGTTGGCTACTCCTAACTCGGCGGTGTAGAGATACAATGATTGCTGGGCACTACACGAAGTAAGTAGCCAGCAATATAAAAATGTTGTGGTCGTGCACAGCCTAGTCTGCTTTACTTGCAAGACAAGTGTGTTCGACCCAAGGGGTTTGCTGTATGGTATTAGAATAATCAGTTATAACAAAAGGAAGATAGTCCGAAGCGTGGGAAACAAAGTCCGAAGGTATAATTACAAGTCCAATGTCAAAAATGTCGGGTCCGACATTTTCAGGTTTCGGGTTAGTGGGTTTGCCTCGGGTTGTGTCGGGTTAGCATCGGGTTAGCATCGGGTTAGTGTCGGGAATATAGCAAATGTCAGGGATAGCGAATGGCGGGTTACTGTCAGATGCTTCAGATAAAGAACGGATGATATTGCGGAATCCAACTAAGAACTATGAATATCGGATGACCTCCTCCTACTCGGAGGTAGAAAGGTCCAGTAAATAGGTAGGAGGTATGCGAAATATATAGTATCTATGTAGAATTTCGGAGTGCTATAGGCGAAAGTAGTAGCGCTGATTTTCGGGTCCGATGTCCTATGTAATAAGACACAATGTACTGTGGACATGTAATAACGTGTTCTACAATGTTAGCGACATGAAAACAAGTAACTGTGCACCTAGTGGGGATAGATATGACAGGACAAGACATAGGGAGGACAAATGTGCGGGAAAATATCGGGTCCGATGTGCAGGAAACATCAGGTCCGTCGGATTAGTGTTGGGTTTAGTGGATAAACATCGGATTGAGCGGATGAGTGTCGGATAACATCAGGAAGTGATTTAGATGTTTGACATGTATCAGGAAATAGCTGGATATGAGCCTAGCGTGAGCTCGAGTGCTACAGCAGCTAAATTGCTGTACTCCCCCACAGGTCACATACCTTGAGGTAAGTTTGTGTTCTGTCCGTCAGTGGTGCCAGTGCCATCTCTCAAGCTTTTGATATATGCTGATTCCACTCCAACTCTTGCAGAACGATGTGGTTGGGGAGGTTCTTCAAAGTGGGGACCTAGATGGTCTGGAGGAGGGATAGTTTGTGATGAGGCTGGACTGTTGGTTTGACTGGTGAGTGTTGAATGCTTTGTGCCATGCTGCTGACTGGTGCTTTGATAGTTGAACTGATATCATCGATTCATGCTGTGTGGTGTCCCCTGTCCTCAGCTCCTTCTAGAGGTACATCCACCTCTACTGTGTTGAATGTGACACTTCTTTCGACAGTGACATGCCTGCTATTGGGTAGGTACACTCAGTGCCCATTACTCTCTAGGTCAAAGCCCATCCAGCAGCCCTCTATAGCCCACATGTCCAGTTTCGACCTGGCCGTAGTGTGAACCTTCACTTGACACCCCCATACCAGTACATTACTTAAGTCAGGTTTCCTTTTGAATAACGTCTCATACGGCATCTTGTTTTCCAGTGCGTGGATCGAGGTACGGTTCTTCAACCAGGTGACATGCATCACAGCTTCTCCCCACAGGTACTTTGGCAACTTGCTTGCATGCAGTAATGTGCACGCCCTTTCAACAATAGTTCTGTTCAAGCACTCGGCAACCCCATTATGTTCCAGCATGTCATGTATGGTAAGCTTTTGTTCTGTTTCTTTACTCTTCAAGTGATGTGTAAATTCTTCGCTAGTGAACTCTCCCTGCGATTTGAGCGGAGATGTTTAACCTTTGCATTGAGTTGGGTGTTAGCCCAGGCTTCAAACTTAGTATAAGCATCAAAGGTCTGGTCCTTTGACTTCAGAAGGTAAAGGTGTGTGAAATGCATGTAGTCATCTGTAAAGGACACAAAGTACTCCTTCTGACCGGGAGTTCAAACAGGTGAAGGGCCCCAGAGGTTGCTGTGGACCTTGTTGCCAAAGTTTTCATGTCTTGGCGGGTCTTGGACCTTTCTGATGGGCTTGTGCATTGCCTTGGCATATTTGCAGGACTCGCAACTGTCCATCGTCTTTTTTGCCACATCAAGATTTATTCCAGTAATCACACCGTCATGGATCATTTGTGTGATGGTACTTGGTGCCATGTGCCCTAGTCTGGCATGGACTTCCCACATGGTGAGTACTTCTTTTACAGCTGCTGCTCTGGTGTATGGTCTCTTTGACCCTTTTACACTATATAAGCCCTTATTCACCAGAATCTCTCCCAACAGCTTCTTTTTATCATTGAATATCTTGCAGGAGCTCTCATGGAATAATGCGCCATATCCAGCTGCAGTAAGTCAGCTGATTTAAAAAAAAAAAAATCCAATCATTGTCCAGTTGGGGTATTGTACCCTATGTAGGACATTTCTATCTAAGAAAGGGGGACACCTGTGTCCCCGCCGTGTCTCCTACTCTGCAAATGCCCTGGGGGAGGGTTGACCTCCCCCAGTCCACCATTCCTGCTGGCTGTTTTAGATGCACGAGTCTGCTACTCCACGGGGCCGTATTGATACATTTTGTGTGTGTGTGCCTGTCTTAGGTTGGGAAATATACATGTACTCAGATCACCGAAGCGAAGTTGGCTAATTGACACAAGAGTCATGCTCATCTTAGGTGTGTATAGGACATCTTTCAGCAATATACATGTACTGGAGTTTCTGTTTGGCAACAGAATCATAATGTTGCCCTTGCCGATTGCTTGAAAGGTATGTTTGTCAGTGGTTGTTATTGGCTTTGGGACTATGTTGACGAAGTCTTGTAACAAGTCACAGTATAATGACATATGTTGTGATGCACCAGAGTCAAACAGCTCAATTCACTGTTCTTGGCTATGGCTCAAGCTTGTTAGCATCAAGTATGTGAGTGAGGTTTGTTTGTCTGTTCCTGCAGTTTCATGTGCTGTCTTACTAGGATGTGATTGGCAATAAAATTACCAGTTCTCACTATCCTCCATGGTCAACAGTTGATAATGTGGTCATTCATGGGAGGAGGCGTAAATAGCTGGTCTTTCTAAACAAACTTCTAATGACTTGAGGTGGGTTGAGGCAGTGACCGTTAACTGGCTTGACGCAGTGCTTAGGTACTTGAAGGTTGATAGTTTGTTAACTGGCTTGATGCAGTACCACAATGCTACTAGAAGAGGATTGCAAAGGTGTGCAATATGAAGATGGATATATGAATCACAACAGTATACAATGAATCAGAGTAATATCTTGTAAAACACTCCCTATTCTCAAAAATTAGAGGAGATCAAACTAAGCCTCTAACACAATCGAATCAACCAAAATATGTGGTTTCAAAACTAACTTCTCTGCTGCTTAGGCACTCACAATAAGTATGACGCAGAATCAGAACAGAGTGCACCTTCTTGATGTAGTCTTAAAGCAGCCAAGCTTCCTAATCGTTAAAAATATGTAAATTCTCCCAACAGAAAAGGTATCCTGTGTTGTAAAGAGAATGTGACGAAACTACAACTAGATGACTGATAACCATGTACCAGCTAGTGTAATTCAAGGATTGGCTCAAGGTAGGCCTCAGAAGATCAGTATGTTGTGGGAAATGATGACAAAAGAATGGAGGGAATAAACTAATATTCACTCAGATGTTCACACAAATATAGGGTGAGAAATTCAAGTAGATACTCAAATCCTCCTCCCTCTCTCTAAAAGAGGGATGTCTGTCCTCTCAAAGGAAGCTTATTTCAAAAGGGAGATTGTCATTATTCAGAGGGTAAACTGGGTCCCTTATATGCTACTCTAAATGTGGCTGTGTAACTATCTAATTAAGGAAATATGAATCATAGTGACTCAGACAGAAAAATGAGTCATAGTTGAAATGTCCCATGATGACTTGTTCACTTCTCAAATATTCCCATCCATTAACTTTCTTCCTTCAGTTTCCTGACTAATCCATCTCATCTTACTAATCCATTTCATCTGACTAAGCCATTGATCACACATGAACTGTTGAAATGTTGGAATGTTACCATAAATGTGTTTCAGAACATACAGACAAAATGTGAAGAATTGTAAAAAAACAGTCATAAGATTGTGAGAGAATGCTGAATAATGTGTTGTGGTATGTTTGGAACTTATCTTCAAACTGGATAAGTGTTAATTGATTATTATGTAGTATTATGGGTTTGTTATGTCTGAGAATTACTCAAATCAAATCATAATGTGTTTATAGAAAATTCTTAGTAATTTCGTAGAATAAAGCAGAGAACATCAAAGCTCAAAAGTAGCCATGACCATGCACAAAACAAGTTTGGTGTGTGTCAGCGCTAACCAAACACCTTCAAGCTCGTCGTCTTTCGCCTTGTCTTTGGCACTGGCAGCCATTTCAGGTTTCTTGTCCTTGCATTTCCCATCTAATCTCCCTTTTGTTACGCTGACCGTTGGTCGGCGTGTGCGAACTAGGATAGGTCTTCTCAGCGACGACTCGAGTGAGTCTACTGAAGCTGAGCGTGGTCTAGCCTTGACGGAACGTCAAGGATTCCTCCGGCGATCTCGGTAAGACAGCGCTCGTCGAGATGCAGGGCTAGCGGATACGTGCTAAGTCGTATGGGGGCGACTTAGAAGTGCGGTCTCACACAAGGAAGCTGGTAAGCTTAGATGAGCAAGTTCTGGGGATGAACCTAGTAGATTAAAGTAAAGTCTAAGTACAATAATCTGTGTCTACTTATAGGGAAGTACTACAAGTATTCTAGCTCAGTCTGTAATCAATAGTATATCGTAAATCTATGATAGCCAGACATGAGGTTCAGATAAGATACATGAGGCTTAACCTCTGATCAAGCATGCTGCGCCAAGGGCAGCTGCGCATAGGTACAGGAAGCGCCAAGCGCGCTCCGGATCTTCATGAAGCGACATGTGGTATGCATGCGCTGATCTAGGGTGACCATGAGGCGTACAGCCTCCATGGATCAGGTACAAGGCCATCTAGGCCAGGGGCGGGTCATAGCGCCAGGGGCGGGGTCGTAGCGGTCCAGACCACTGTCTTTCTGGGCGCGGGCGGCGCACCGCCGCGCGGGGAGTCTAGCAGAGCGGGGGCAGGCGTAGGCAGAGCAGGGGCTCTTGTAGGTGTTACAGATGCCTGTAACACCTTTTCCACTTGCTCCTCCACTGCCAGGGCCTCTGCAATCCTTTTGCATGTGCCCGTACTTGCCACAGTTATGGCAGTTTTCTTTTATCCTTTGAGTATGCTGACCCGAATTTGTGTTGTAGGCAGTGTTGTCATTCGAGGATCCAGCCTTCTTTGATTTTGAGGCCCAGCGGTCGTATTCATCAACAATAGTCGACATCAATATATCAGAGGTGAGTTTGACGCTCGATACTTTAGCAGATGCTGTCAGTGCTGATAAATGTGGGTTGTAGGACACTGGTAGCGAGCTCATAATCATAGCCATGAAGCTTTCATTGGAAGGTGCATGTCCCAACGAGGACAGTGGTTCTTTGATCATTCGCATCTTGTCAAAGTGATCTCTGATGTTTCCTTTTTCAGTGCACTTCTGGTCCTGGAGCTTTCGCAATAGCTCCATGGACACCACACGCAAACACTGCTCAAACAGGCTCAAGAGGTGCATGAATATTTTCTTTGTCATGTCTAAATTTTTGATTTGAATAAACAGTGAGTCAGGGATCATCCCTGCTATCTGCTGTTTTGGTATGGCCTGGCCCATGCGCCATTCTTTCAATTCCATTTTATATATGCTAACCTCTTTTACTTTGTCCGGCATAGCTAGTACCACGACACTCCTCTGCTAGGCAGTGTTAGGCAACTGCATGGGTATGGGTAACCCGCACGGGTCATAGGTAAGGGTACACCTAGGGTACAGGTGGGGGTTGCCTTTCACAGCACCCATACCCGCGCACAGGTTAGACCATCCAAACATCAGCAGCAAGCACTCAGTACGATGGGCATACAACTCACTGGATGCCACATCACCATTCACACCCCCACCCCCACCATTCACGCCGGCATTGGTGCATACCCCAACACCACCAACACCAATGACCACCACACTGCATCCAACACCACTAGCACCATGCACAAATGCCCAACACACACCAGCAAGTGCTGACGTGGCACAAACACTTGCAGACAACACCAGGATGCTGAAGATGAGAAAAGGATGAGAGGTGGCACTCATTCTTACTTGCATGCAGTGTATGTAGACTCGACTCTGGATAGGGAGTCACAGTGAGTGAGTGTGTTGATCCTCCTTCAAGCTTGAGCCACACTGATCCAAGTTGTTGCACACCGTTTGCAGTGAATGAGTGTGTCAATCCTCCTTCAACTCGAGCCATGCTGATCCAAGTTGTTGTCTGCCATTCACAGTGTGTCGATCCTCCATCAAGCTCAAGCCATGCTGATCAAAGTCATTGCCCACTGTTTGCAGTGTCTTAATGAGTCCTTTTTTACAATCATTTTTTTTTGATATTTCTAACTTAATATTTATATGTACTACCTGCAGGTAAACCCTGCACAGGTGCGGGTGAAACACCTTCACCATCTGTAATACTGCCCCCAGACGACGTCCCCCACGCACAGATCATGTACCTATTATCAGCATCCTGGACCTCAAAATCCCTCATGCCTCAACAACGATCACTGCCAACTTCCGAGATGTAGACTGGACAACATTCAATGGCCAACTCCAAACCAACCTCAGTGAATACCCGGAACCAAAACCCATTACATCCATAGAACAATTCCAAGCCACAGCCAACAACCTCAGCACCACCCTAAAAAGAACCATTGAAAGTAAAGTCCCCAACACGAAACCCAGCCCTCATGCAAAATGCTGGTGGACAAAAGAGTTAACATTAATGTTAAAAAGAAAGATGAGCTAAGTGGACTATCCTACAAGATGCGTGGACTGCCTGATCACCCTGTACACGAGGAACACCATAAATACCGCAACCAAGTCACTGAAGCCATCCAAAAAACAAAACAAGAACACTGGATAGAATTTCTCGAGGAACTAGACACTGACAGTATATACACCACTGTAGCACTGGAGCTCACGCTGAACACATATTCTCTCATTTCTCGATACACGTCCAATGCCTGTTATGCACTAATGTAACCCAATGCTGACCCGCACAACCCGATGCAAACCCGACACTTTGACTAGCGGACCTGACGTTTCGGCCGCATCAGACCCGATATTTTCCCGCGCTCTTGTCCTATCCATGTCCTGTCTTGTCTTGCTAGCCCCACTAGGTGCATAGTTGATTGTTTCTCACATTACTCACGTCGTAGCAAGCGCTATTACATGTTTTCCCATCATCCACAGCGCCTCGTGTTTATTTACATGTACTTTGGACCTGAAATCGTCGGCTGCTACTTTCGCCTATGGCCTTCCGGATTTCTACGTACTTATATATATATTGGACTGACTACGAGTATTTTCATTATCCAAGTAGTAGGGAGCCGTTCCCCGATACTTAGTGGTCAAACCCGATATTTCGTAGTTCCCAGTTGACATTGCGAATATTACCGCTCTTTCTATCCGAAATACCCGCAGTTATCATATATCCGCATACCGCTCGCTTTCCCGACATTTGCTATCGCCCTTGCCGCTAACCCGCTAAACCCGCACCCAAAACCCGCTAACCTGAAACCTGAAAACATCGGACCCGACGCTTTGGCATCGGACATCGTAGATATACCTTCGGACTTTGTTTCCCGCACTCGGACTTTTGACTGTTTTATCATTTCACTAACTACAGACCAATCCAATAGCTAACCCCTCGGGTCGAATGCACTTGTCTTGCAAGTAAAGCAGACTAGGCTGTGCACGACCACAACATTTTTATATTGCTGGCTACTTACTTCGTGTAGTGCCCAGCAATTGTTGTATCTCTACACCGCTAACAAGTTTATCACTAGACCATATGGAGATGGAAGCAGGACAAGCATCCCAGTACTCAAGACCAAAGACACCAATGGCAATCACACAGAAGCTGTCATGAACAAGGGCAAGAGTAAAGCCCTAGCCGAAGCCTTCTTCCCTCCTCCTCCGAACTCTAGCGCTGTACCAGCTAATTTTGAATATCCAGACCCGATCACACCATTCACTGCCATCACAGAAGAACAGCTCATCCGCATGATCAACAACACCAGCCCGTATAAAGCACCAGGACCAGATGGAATATGCAACATTGTCTTCAAACGCGCGCAACATATACTGACCCCATACCTCCTTCATCTTTTCAATGCAGTATTCTCCCTCAAGACATACTTCAACCCATGGAAAGAATTCACCACAGTGGTACTGCGCAAACCTGGTGAAGCAGACCACTCAGTTCCAAAGGCCTATCGCCTGATTGCTCTCATCAACATGACGTGCAAACTACTGACAGCTCCAATAGCAGAACAAGTCACTCAGACAATAGAACACCATAACCTCCTCCCCAATACTCACTTCGGAGGCCAACCAGGATGCACCACCACTGACTCACTGCACTTACTCGAAACCACAGTCAAGAATGCATGGTGGAACAACAAGGTCACTTCCATCCTATTCCTTGACATCGAAGGTGCCTTTCCCAACGCAGTCACCAATCAACTAGCTCACAACATGCGAAAATGCCGCCTACCTCCAGAAATAGTAGACTTTACAGTTAGAATGCTAACAGGCCGGAAAACACAGCTAAAGTTCAATGATTCCCTCTCCAACTGGATAGAAGTATGCAATGGTATAGGTCAAGGAGACCCTCTTTCTATGATTGCCTACCTCATATACAATGCTGACCTAGTAGACATTGCTAACCCCCGCAACAACGAAACAGCCCTAGCTTTTGTGGATGACACAGCATTCATAGCAATTGGACCAACATTTGAAGACACTCACTGCACCCTCAAGAGCATGATGGAAAGGCAGAACGGAGCACTCCAATGGTCACGTGAACATAACTCAAAGTTCAAGGTCAATAAATTTGCACTAATCGATTTCACCCACAGCAGAACCTGCCATCGCCCCCCACTAATTATACAAGATACTGTCATCTCCCCTGCTGAGCACCACCATTGCCTAGGCCTACTCATTGATCAAGAGCTAACATGGAAACATCACACAGGATATGCAATTGCCAAAGGCACAAAATACACCCTCCAACTCCACTGTCTATTGAAACCATCCAATGGAATATCTGAAAAGCTCATGCACAAATTATACCTTACAGTAGCTGTCTCAAAGTACACATATGGTGCCGATGTATGGTTTTGCCTGACCTTCAACACAGAGACAGGAATGGAGAAAAGAGAATCCAAAGGAATTGCACAGAAGCTAGCTAGAGTCCAATGGATCACTACACTGAGTATCACTGGTGCCATGAGAACAACTGCTACTGACATTTTAGACGCACACTCCAACCTGCTCCCTGGATCAATGCTCCTCCAACGCACATGCCATCGTGCAGCTATCTGACTAGCCACCCTACTGACACGCCACCCCCTACACTCTCACCTCCAGCACATCATTAGGCATTGCAACACCCACCGGCACTGCTCATCACTCCACAATCTCATCTCCATGTTCCGAATATACCCAAACAACACAGAAACCCTAGATCCCATTCAACGATCCAACGCTAGCCAGAAAAAACACCTTCAAGATACACATAACACCAAAAGAGAAGGACACCATCAAGGGACAAAAAGAACTGACAGACAAGATACAGATCTTCACAGATGGCTCCAGACACAATGGAGGAATAGGAGCAGCTGCAGTACTAATACATGAAGGCCAAGCACCCCACACCCTCAAATATCATCTAGGTCTGATCGCTTCTTGGACCCGAACCAGGTGGCACCCCGACAAGGACCCCGGAACCCAACCATCAACATCGCGCCCGACAGCGCCAAGGACGCCAAACAGCGGCCCCAACGCTGCAACCAACACAGGATCCTCATCAATCCGAAACCAAGAACCAAGGTATACCCAACCAAAAACAGCAAACATGGCCCCAACCAGCACAACAAACCCTCCAACCACCTCCCAACCAACACGCATGAACAACCGTAAAACAACCGCAAGCAAACCATTACTAACTATCAGCAAATCTAATGAAGAACACGCCCTAGGGACGGGTATAAGAACCGATGTCAACTCAATGAACTCGGCAAGGAAAATCCTATCAACTCATGGCTTAGTACTACCAACAGCAGGCAACATGCTTCAGCCAATAGCAATGGCCCTGTTTGAGTTCAGCATCTCAGCCAACCTAGGAGCAACCCACATCGACATCCTTCGAGCAATGGCCTTTGTACTGCTGGAAGTTGACCATGAAATTGATGTCTCAAGTATCGTAAAGAAAGTTCAAGCCTTGATGGGAGGACCAGTGGCCACACTGGACGAGAAGATAGAAGAGCTAGAGAAAGTCATAGAGAAGCACAAAACAACGCTAGAATATACAGCGTCAGAGGTAAGCAAACAGTTAAACTCTGTAGTACTCAAGGTATCCCACGCAGCCGAGAACACTGCGACACCGCAACACGTCCCGACCACGAATGAAGGAACAGCTGGAAAGAAAGACCAGAGATCATACGCGACAGCAACCAAGGAAGGAATCCCGGCACCCCTGATCAAGGCCTTAGCTCGCAATGAAGCCCAAGGACGCCAAATACTCTTAGAAAGGCGCTCACCAAACTTCACCAACATGCTCATCAATCTCACAGAGATCCAGCTGGTCGCGAAAGCAAACCTAGCGGTGGAAGCCATGGAAAAAGAAGAAACTGACGTACCACAGAACATCAAGTTCATCTCAGCCAGACGCCTCCCCCATGGAGGCGTATTATATGAACTAGACTCAGCAGAATCAGCTTCCTGGCTCAACAACCCACCAAACCGCAGCAAATTCCTCGAAGGTTTCGGAATTGAAGTCGTACTCAGAGACAGAACGTACCATGTCATAGTGGAGAACGTGCCAATCAGCTTCGTGCCAGAACAACCGGCAGCATTAACTGACATTGAACAGAAAGCAGGAATGAAACCCAAGGCAATATCAAAGGCAAGATACATCAAGCCGATCAACAGACACAACCTGGACCAGCGAACGGCCCACGTCATCATCACCTTCAACACCAAGGAAAGCGCCAACCAAGCAATCAGATTTGGCCTCTCGGTCGCAGGTAAGAAAGTATATGCCAGGAAACTGATTACGGAACCTTCCAGATGCCTTAAATGCCACTCCTTCGACGGTTCGCACATGGCCAAGGACTGCCCACAGGAGGAAGACACCTGCGGGACATGTGGCGGATCACACAGGACCTCCACCTGCACAATAAAGGACCAAAGTGACTTCTACTGCGTGAACTGCAACATCCAGGGCCACGCCACCTGGAGTAGAGACTGCCCAACATTCAACGCAAAGTGGAACACTCACAAGAACCGAAATGCAGAATCTACATACCGCTACTACCTAACTGATGACCCCCTTACCTGGGAGAAGGTATCAAATTCAGACACCGAATGGAACGATCAAGAAGAAGCGCAAACAAGACCACCCCAACCCCAGCCCCCCCAACCGCAACCAACCCAAAGGTACCTGCCGCCAAGAGACAGGTCTGATGAGTGGCGCACAGCTACAAGACAACAGAGACCGCTGTAGGGATTCATTTCTGGCTGGGCTTGCAGAGACTGTTTTTACCTTAGTGTTATGTTTGCACTTTTGTAGCTTACATAATCAAGTTATCTTTTCACCAGTTACCAGTATGAGTCTGAGTACTCAGCAAGTTTTCATGATATTTCCTCTTCTCTGAGCCTTGAGCCTGGTCCAGAAACCCTTTAGGGTCGAATAGCAGCTAGGTTCTGCAAGACCCAACATTGTTCAGACTCACCATCTGAATAGTTGTACCTTCACCGCAAAGGACCACCACCAACAACCAGAACCCCAACCATGTCCCACTAGGAGGACAATTGAGAATAACAGACATGTGGGCCTCGCAACCGCGGCTCCAACCGGCTCCAACCCAGCAATGCCCTCTGAATCCAAGCAATGACCCAACACCCAGCGACACCAGCACCCAGTCAGCGACATCCTGATGAACACCACCACCAATGGGAGAGTATAACCCAGGCAGATGGAGTGACAACCAAGACTTTGAATAAATGCCTGTACAACCCAACGACCAACCACCGGCAAGGGACAACCTCAGGATATGGCAACAAAATCTTAGAAAATCACTCCCCACTGAAGGTACAACAATTCAGATGGTGAGTCTGAACAATGTTGGGTCTTGCAGAACCTAGCTGCTATTCGACCCTAAAGGGTTTCTGGACCAGGCTCAAGGCTCAGAGGAGGGGAAAATGTCATAAAAACTGCTCAAGACTCAGACTCATACTGGTAACTGGTGAAAAGGTAACTTCATTATGTAAGCTACAAAGTGCCAACATAAGGTAAGGTAAAAACAGTCTCTACAAGCCTAGCCAGAAATGAATCCCTACACCGCCTGGGAACATATGTTAAAAAACCTGGACCTTAACATGTATGATATCACCTGCATACAAGAACCCTATTTAAACCCGGTAAAGCTCGCTAACGCCTCCAACCTTAGACAATACTGGGGTGTATTATACCTGTCAAACCACCATTCCAGCCCCGACAGAATGCAAGTCATCATGTTAGTCAACAAGAAACTCTCGAAGAATAACTGGCACATCGTAATGATCAAATCACCAAATGTAATGGTGGTCGAGCTAGTGGGCGACTTTGGAAAGGTGTGCATGTACAATATTTATAACGCCTGTGACAATGACAACACCCTGCACTTTCTCGAAAGACACATGGCCACTGAGCACAACACCAGACAGGCCTGAGTGCAACGCATCGCTCAAGGTGAACAGGAGGAAAAACCAGAGTATATAATGTGGATGGGCGACTTCAACCGCCACCATCCTATGTGGGAACCACAACATAACACCCACTTATTCACCGCGGCGAACCTCAATGCCACGGCTGTACTAATAAACTTATTATCTCTGTATAATCTTGTACAGGTATTACCACTGGGAACAGCCACCTTAGAAGCATCGAACACAAGAAACCTCACACGTCCAGACAACACCTTTTGTTCAATGCAAATGGAACAGATGGTCACTCAATGCAATGTCAAACTGCAACTCCGCCCGGTCATAACAGACCACTTCCTGATCATAACCGTCCTAGATCTAGAACCTGAACACGCCATATCAACGCCTAAGCACAACTACCGGGAGACCGACTGGAAGAAATTCAGAGAACACCTATCAGACAAGCTAAGTGCCATCCCCCCTCCAGCAGAACTCACGACCCACACACTGTTTGAACAGGCTCTGGCAGCACTAACAAGTAGTATAACAGAGACAGTGGAAGCCAAGATCCCAAAAACCAACTCCTCCCCATATGCCAAATGTTGGTTGTCAAAGGAACTAGACACAGAACGAAGAACGGTCCACAGGCTGGCAAGAGAGTCGAGGAAACTCCAAGCAAGACAAAATGACCCAATCCATGAGGAGTACAGATCAGCATGCAATAGATTCTCAGAGAGTATCAAACGAGCAAAGGTAGACCACTGGAATGAATGGATGGAGAAACTGACACCGGCAGGAATTTGGACCTTCCACAAATACACCGCAAGCAATCCAGCCAACCAAGTCCACACAAGAATAAAGACATTACAGGACCCGAGGGCCGACGGCCAAATCGGAGCAACTCAAGACAACGCTCGAAAGAGCAAGCTACTCTATAACGTCTTTTTCAGACCGCCAGTGGAAAACAACTATGTTGACCCAGAATTCGCCTATGACCCACCGATATGCGACTTCGAGCCCATCACGGACCAGCAAGTGTATCGTGCAATAGCCAAACTAGCGTGCCTCACAAAGCCCCTGGCCTGAACGGCATACACAACATAGTCTTCACTCAGTGTGCAGATCTGTTAGTCCCATACATGTCGCCCATCTTCCGCGCTACATTCAAGCTCGAAATCTATCCCAACGATTGGAAATGCTCATCGACCATTGTCTTAAGGAAGCCAGGGAGACCGGATTACAGTGTTCCGAAAGCTTACAGACCAATCACACTACTAGACACCATGGCTAAGATTTTATCCTCTTGCGTAGCAGATGACCTGACGTACATTGCAGAACAACACAGCCTACTCCCAGCAACGCACTTCGGTGGAAGACCAGGCAGATCAACGGTAGATTCACTCCACCTACTAACGAAATTCATCACAGATGCCTGGGTGTCGAAGGAGGACCACGTCTCACTACTATTCCTTGACATGAAAGCCACTTTCCCAAGCGTAGTCACCAACAAGCTCCTGCACATTATGCGGAAGAAAGGCATACCGGAGCAGTATGTCGAGTGGTACAGAAGGAGACTAGCAGACAGAACCACCTACCTCTTCTTCAACGACCACCAGTCCAAACTCTTCAACGTGTCAGACGGCCTTGACCAAGGCTGCCCGCTGTCATCAATAGCCTTCATATTCTACAATTCAGATGTACTAGAAGTTGCTGACCCTAACCCACGCAAAGGAGAGTTAAGCTTAGGCTTCCTCAATGACGTTGCGCTGGCAGCCAGAGCCACATCATATGCGGAATCAAATGCCAAACTCAAGACTATGATGGAGAAACGAGGGGGTGCACTGGAGTGGAGTGAGCAACATCATGCTGAGTTCGAGCTTGAGAAAACTGTGCTAATATGCTTATCAAGGAAACACATACCAAGTGAGGAGAACCCCTGCAAAACAGTATCAGAACCATGACCCGCCATCACTATCTGCAGCCACACCATTCAACCATCCAAGTCCCACAAGTTCCTGGGAATGGTAATAGACGAAAATCTCAACTTCAAAGAACACGCTGTAGAGACTCATGCCTCTCATTGTGCAATATGGCAGTTTTCACTGGGGAGTACATGGCACGAACTTGTAGCATCACTCTGTGTGCTACCTGCAGCTATCTCTATATGAGGCGCAGCTTTCCCGCGCAATGCGCGCCATGCGCGCGTACCTTTCCCGCGCTTCACGATGTATATGCGCGCGCGCTTTCCTGCGCTTGAGCGCCCTATAGCGCCAGCCATCCGGAAGCATCCATCCACTGTCCACCAAGTTCCCTAGTGCGTATATTTCCATTTCTCACATTTGCTTATCGTTCCATCCTTATTTTTATCATGGACCCTTACTTACATATATCTTTACATACCTTACTCGGTAGCGCTTCGGCTCCGCATGACAGCGCTTAGGCGCCATACTTAAGCGCCAGCAGTACATACTATGACTTACTCACTTACTCTCCCACCAGAACGACAGAGGACTTACTGGTTACTACCCACTATTTACCTAGCAGAACATAGTAGAAATCTATTTGTTTACACCTTGCATCTCCCTTCTCTTGTCTTACATCATATCGTCACCTAAGCAAACTCACTCTTACTCTCTCTTGTTTCCGCATACACGCGCGCGCATTCCCGCTGAAGGTTCAACGATACAGCGAGGCACGAACAATGCTCCTGACTGTATCTATAATTGTTGTAAGGTCGCGCGTTGCCTAGTCTGCTATACTTGAGACGACAAGTGCGTTCGACCCTAAAGGGGAAGCGAGTGCAGCAAGGATCTAGAGGTATGCGCTGAAAGCGCTACTGGTTGGCCAATGCGAAGCGCGAGAAAGCGCAGGTGCGCGCAAGGCGCGGGAATGCGCGCGTGTATGGCGCAAAGCGCAGGAAAGCGTGCGCGTGTATACAGATATGAGAGAGAGTAAGAGTGAGTTTGCTTAAGTGGTGATATGATGTAAGACAAGAGAAGGGAGATGCGAGGTGTAAACAAATAGATTTCTACTATGTTCTGCTAGGTAAATAGTGGGTAGTAACCAGTAAGTCCTCTGTCATTCTGGTGGGAGAGTAAGTTTGTAAGTAAGTATGTACTGCTGGCGCTTTAAGTATGGCGCCTAAGCGCTGTCATGCGGAGCCGAAGCGCTACCGAGTAAGGTATGTAAAGATATATGTAAGTAAGGGTCCATGATAAAAATAAGGATGGAACAATATGCAAATGTGAGAAATGGAAATATACGCACTAGGGAACTTGGTGGACAGTGGATGGATGCTTCTGGATGGCTGGCGCTATAGGGCGCTACAGCGCGGGAAAGCGCGCGCGCATATACATCGTGAAGCGCGGGAAAGGTACGCGCGCATGGCGCGCATTGCGTGGGAAAGCTGCGCCTCATATAGAGATAGCTGCAGGTAGCACACAGAGTGATGCTACAAGTTCGTGCCATGTACTCCCCAGTGAAAACTGCCATATTGCACAATGAGAGGCATGAGTCTCTACATCTCCCAGGGACTTAAATTCTGAGTGTCCCCACTCAGCGCGTGTGTGGTGAGGATCTCAAGTGATAGTATGCGAGTACGATGCATGTACGATGCTTGGGTTGTTGGGCGATGAATGTGCACGCATAGGAATGTATCACATGATATGCACGAAGCGCGGGAATGCGCAGGTGCGCGCGAGGCGCGAAGGTGCGTGAAAGTGTGCGCGCATATGCGCTCGAGGCGTGGGAATGCAGCATAGCATGGCGAATTGCAAGGGTGACTCTGGTGTGAATAATGCACCATGGGTGTGAGGCGATGATGTGAGAGTGATATGGCTGTGGTGTGCGAAGCGTGGGCGAGGCGCGCACGTATGGCGTGAAGCGTGGGAGAGTGCGCGCGCATAAGGCGCGAGAACATGCGTGAGTGTTGCATGCGCTGCATTATGTGGGGGTGCAAGGGGCTGTTGCACAATGATCTCTGAGTCCAATATGCGTGCATGAGCATGATGCGAAGTGGTGCGGTCCAAGAGCGATCCAATCCATGTCCAAACCAAGTCCTGCTAGGTGCGCTAAATATTAGGTGCTAAAGGTTTGAACAGCATGAGTAAAACTTTATGCGAAAATATGAAGAGAAAACAGTAAACTTTGCGGATGTCCTATCCGGCTTGTCTTCTTCGTGCGGCTGTCGACATCTACACCTTCCTATGAGCAAGGCGCGGGAAGCGCACGCGCACGTGAGGCGCATGGGTGCGGGAAGATTGCGCGCATATCTGCGCGTTCTAAGGTAAAAAGAGCATGGTGCCGCGTCATGCATGCGAAGAGAAAATAATATCCTATTGAGCTAGGCGGGCACAATCTAAGGTTGTTTTGGTGTTTTTTCTTCTATATTCTTCTAGGCGATCCCTATATGCATATATATCTGTGTGTTATTAGTCCTTTGGATGGTGTTATAATGAGAGAAATTAAAAATGAAAGAGCACTGGACGAAACCCAGGGTAAAACGAACGGTATCCTATGAAACAGCAATGGTATGTGTTTTTCTTTGGTGCGCAGCTGAAGCGCTTGAAGCGCGTGGTGTGTGTGGCATAGGCGAGGGTCAGAAGGCGCAAGGCTGGCGCGCTTGGGGTGCTTGGTTCCTCTTCATCAAGCCTTTTTGATTGTGACTCCGAGGCGGGCTAGTAACTGGCAGAATGAATTCCTGCACAACGCGCTGCAGGTTGAAGGCGCGCCAATGGGAGGCGCTGCAAGGGGTGTAGAGGTGCTCTACAAGCTGATAGGATGTGCGCGCCTTGGGGCGATTTCGCGCGAATTTGATTATATTGGCCGAACACGCGAGGAACGGCCATTTCTCTGCAAATGTGTTAGCGAGAGACATATATAGTTCGGAATTAGGCGCAAATGTTGCGTGAATGGGCTGTAAGGGTGGTTTATCAAGGCGCAATAGGCGCATAGGTGAAAGAGAATAGTGCACGTCAGGGTGTGCAGGAACGAAATTGTCATGGTAAGCAAAAACATGAAGAATGCGA